TATTTTGTGCTCTTTTTGCTTTCCATTCGTTTTGCTGCATGTGCCATGCTAATCTTCTCTGTATTTTTGCAGTTTTTTTTTTTTTTTTTTTTTTTTACTTTGGACCATTTCTCGATTTATGCGAGTGAAGAGCATTATCTTTGGTCTATGCTGGAGTACATCTTCTTCTTCTTTCTTACTTCTTCTTCTTCTTCTTTCCCTCTCTCTCCTCTCATTGACAAGTTCATTCATTTCTTTTTGTAATTGGATGGCATTGTACTTTCTGGTGAATGTATACTTCGAAATTGGCCAGGATCGTAACATTGGTATCGGAGCGGATTCTACTTGCTGGCGAGAGTTGACTTTGCTGCCATAACCCTAACCCTAGTGGTAAGGGCTAACCACTTAGGGTTAGGGCGGAAGTTAGGGTTAATGGGGCAGTGTGGTAAAGGGAAGCTGTTCCCACCTGGCAGGGCCGTGTAGGGTCGACATTAGACCCAGCAAGGTAGCTTGAGTGCATGTTTGTGGTGGCAAGACACAAGGTGGGACTTCGTGATGCAACTTGAGAGAGGCGACAGTGAAGGGCACCTACAACTTGAATCTGGACTTCAAGGAAGATGAGGAGAGACTTTAGGGCTACCCTCAAGTTCGGCGAGCTTGAGGGTGGCAGCCATATCTGCACCTACGGACTGCAAGTTGCTACTTTGATCTTCAACGTCGACGGGGGATCTGGCGTTGTACTTCGGGGCAGACGTTGACCCTCCTAGATGATACTAGGACACTAGTGTAGAGGATGCTAATTGGGTCAGGAGGACTATGTGAGAGGGGGTTGAGTTTCTTTCATCTCAAGAGCCCGGCCACTTAGGTAAGTGTTGTGCCGCCAGGGTGCCCATGTGTGTGTGCATGGAATTAACTGCCTCCTGGGGTATTCTGGGTTCTTCTCCCATCCTCCATAGTCTTGATCTTGTGTGAGGTGTGTGAACTGCTTACTCACCTGACGAGTGAATGAATGGAGTATCTTGCGTGCCATGCTATATCTTTCTACAATGCTTTGTTTATTTCATTATGAACGGTCGTAGTCTGTAGGTTCTTTCTGGGGCTAAATTTCGTTTTTCAATTTGGTAGGGACAGAGAGTAGGTCTTTGTGGAACTCTTGTTGGTTGGGACCCGGTTCTGACTCCACTGGGACCATTTGGGACTCAGTGGGACCAGTCCCAAACAAGAAGGGCCCCTCAGGCCCAAATCTGTTGACGTCAGTTACTTTGCTCTATTTGATTGGGACGCGGAGTTCATGCTTTCGGACCAGGACACTCACTGCTCATGGGATCTCAGCTGAGACGTTTTAACAGACTTTACCGCACGATCCACCGCCTGACTCGCACCTTGGACACCACTCAATTCTCTCTTGCATTACGTAGTACACTTTGAATTTGATTTGTTGTGTCTTCACGGAGCTGAGTCCGGCTAGGCTTGAGAGGACCTCATACGTAGTCGGACCAGACTGTGTGGTGGAATCAAATCTCTCTGGTCTTTATTTTTTTTTATATTGGTTTGACTGCTCTCCACGATTGGAGCAGTCCAAACGAATGGCCGCTCCGGCTAGGAATTCTACCTTCTCTTTTAGTTGATTTCAAGACTGTTTCTTTCATTGGGTTCGTTAAATGCCTGCGTCTACACGATTGCAAACGAGAGAGAGAGAGAGAGAGAGAGAGAGAGAGAGAGAGAGAGAGAGAGAGAGAGAGAGAGAGAGAAGTTTCTGAGTGTTGCTCTTGAGGGAGTGAGGAGAGGGAAGAGGAGTGTTCGTCCCAGAAGTGTGAGGAAGTATGGGCCTCTCTTGAGAGACTTATTGAAACCCTTGTCCTCCATCATGGTATCTGCAGCAGAATGGAAATTGCAAATGGACGCTGCCCCTGAGGCAGAAAAAGCGCAGTACCAATTCTTTTATGAAAAAACATTGAAGAGGGAAGAGGGAGAGAACGAGAAGAAGAGTCCGAGAGGGGTGAGAAAGTAAAGGCTCATGAAGTCGTCTTCAGTACCATGCTCGCCTTAACTTATGAAGAGGTGGAAGAGAAGACTGTCCCACTCCTCAGGGCTTTGGTAGAGGTCCGGGTTGTTGAAGACCATATAG